TTATCAAACTTTAAACAATTAATTCAACTAATTAATTACTTCTTTGAATTATAAAAATTTTTTTTATCACATGAAAAATTTTAACTATCTTTCCATGTGTATAAACACCCAGGCGCACCTTAGAAACAGTTCATTCATTGTCATGCATAAATATATATTTACGGTTTCCGCAAGTTTTTCACTGATGGGCCGCCCTCGATGCTGGTCGTAATAAATTAACTCATTTAATAACGTGTGTGTGTGTGCGTACTACGACTCGTGATGCATTGTATCTAGGGTTTATTGTGTATTACATGACGCAACACCAACAAATCTTATAACCACTAAAATACTAAACTGAAAATTAATTCAAAAAGATGCCCTCACTTACACGAGAATCAGAACAATTCCATTTCTTGATAATTAAGACGAAAATTAAATGTTTTATTCAGGACAGTAAAGATACATAAAGACATTGACCGGTTTTATTTGAAACGATTTTAGAGGCTAAAAGACATAAGATGGAGTAATAAAGGCTGGGGGTGGTGTATTGTGTGGAGTCAGTAGTGTAGTAGGTTGCTGTGTGCATTAGAGATTATGTTACTCCCTCGAATGCGAATATAAATATGCAGTTGATGTGGTTTTATTTAAAAAGACTTTCTTGTCTTTTCCTTCTCTCTCTCTCTCTCTGTTGTGTCTGATAACTGGGCGCCAAGACCACTGACTGTCTGGGAATGTCCCTATGAAATAATCGACCGTGCAATTTAAAACCCGTGCACACACCATTATCGAACAATACGTGTTCACGCAATATTAGATCAACCAAGATCGACTACCGCGTCGGCGTGGGTCCGGTTTGACTTTATAAACACTTATGACTAATGTTTCAATACTATTTAAATGGTAAAAATATTCTAGAGATTTTTTTTTACCGTTAATGACAAATCTAATTCTTCTTCAACACTACTCAATTTGTCTTATTTTATAATAATTCCTTCTTGGCTTCTTTCGAATAGAATTTCATAAAATTTTAATTGTTTTAAAATCCTTTTTTCTGCTCTACACGATGAACTCATTAGAAATTCTTTATAACCCCGAGATTCGCTGAAGTAAATTTTTTCAATCATAGCATCTAAAATTCGATCATCCAAAGATTTTGCATTAAGAGAAATAGGCTTAAAATTAAATGTTATTCAATAAAAAAAAAAAAACTTTTAAAGCAATTTTATTAATGAATATATTGTTTAAAAACATAATAAACCTTCCAAGATTTTTTTTTATCGATCAAAATAACAGTGAAACCAGAAAAAAATGATAATCATGACTTGTCCAACTGGCGAAATAATAAAACCAAAAAATAATAATTATAGCGTGTGTAAAGTAAAATAGTTTTGTTTATCAGTGGCTATATCGATTCAAGGCGAGAGCAGCTGTATAAGAAAATGTAATAAAAATTGGTGTTTACGGTTTCCAGTTACGGCTACCTCAAGTTGGTTAACTACAATAGAAATCTCCAATTAGAGAGTTCTTGGTTACGTTGCCGTTGTAGACATTATATATATATATATATATATTAGATACGGTGCTTTCTCTTGCACTTATTTTTCTACCACCATGAAAAATATCTCCAAAATAAAAACAAACACTTTTATTGGTTTAAAAGCATCCACTTAATGTCTAGATATTTAATAATTAAAATGTTTCTATGGAATAATTAAGAGTCATACATTGTACTTCATCGAAAGGATTATAATGAAGCAGCTTTATAATTATTTCATTCTGGTCCATACAAATTAAATTCATAAGCACATTAATGTCTCATTCATTACATAGTTAGTTGGGAATTAGATTTGTAAAACACTATCCCTTATTAATAGCACAACAAGAGTAGAGTTTATTTAAATAAAATTTTTAATTTTCTTTTTTCCATGTTTTCATCGTGTATATACTGCCTTATTACTATACATACTGCATTTCCATACACATATATTGAGGCTCATAGAAAGCATATAGATGATTGTTAATCGGCTAAACGCGTGTGTACTCCGCGGTCACAACGGCTCTACAACTAACGTTAGTCCATTGTTTGCAAGACTGGTTGGCGCGGTTGAATTTATAATGCTATTAATTGGCAACATTTCCGCCCCTATATTTCAACTTGTTTTTATCGTTTACCTTTTTTTTTATATTTAGAACTATATTAATTCTAGTTTTCGTTCGATTTGATTAACTATCTATAGTTTTACTCTAAAAAAAAATTTATTAAAAAAATTTTTTTTTGTAAATTAGTTACTTCAGCCAAAATAATTATTTTTAATAAGACTCGTAATTGCGGTCTTGTAAAGTAGATTCTGAGGTTTTAAATGAGCTACAAAAAAGCGTAATTTGAAGATTTTTTCTAGAAGAAATAGAAGCTCAAAGTTAAATGTTTACGAAAATTCTGATTTTGATGATGCTGAAATTTAGCGATTTATTTAAAAAATCATAACTCGATGAAAAATGGTCATAGAATAATTTTAAAGAATACTTTTTGAAGAGAAAAAATTCAGCTTTAAAGACACAGTAATGTTATTTATAACAAAAAAAATTGTTTAAAAAAATACTGCGGTTAAAAGGTTGCTAAAGAATTTAGTACATCAAAGCTGTCATGGTCGTCGGCATAATTCTCCTGGGAAAATATGAGAAAGTAAAAAAAGTAAAACTTTCTTTCCCGCACACCAATATTCCATAATATGTTAGGTCATTTTTCTTTTTCACCTAAGCTATGAGTTTCTTAGCAACAAGTTTCTTGTTGCGCGAAACGTTCGATGTTAGTGTCAAACCACAAGAAATTTCTTACGTAGTCCATATGTCTTTTAGTATCTTCTCTATCTATCTCTTTGTCTATCGGTCTTCTATATACATTTATATATATTCATCTACACATATCTTCAGTACGCATAGCGTCGTGCTAAACGTCTAACGTCTTCCGGGTCCGTGGGAGTCAATTGATTTTGCACATGCTTCTACGGAAATGTCAATGACGCTATTGGATACGATACTGTTGAAGTAAGACAATGAAAATAACATATACATACCAATGTTCCCATAAATTTTATTACAAAGTACATTTGTCGATACTCGGAATCAAAAAATTAATGAATTTTTACTTAAAACGTTTAATTTTTTTAGATTTTTAAGTCTTTTATTCATTAAAAATTCAATCAATGTACTACTGTATACAGTAAATTTACAATTCTCATAGCAAAACATGATTTCAATTAGATTAATGTTCCAATTCTGCTAACTATCCAACATAGTCCTGGAAAAATTCCTCTGAAACCAAGAAATTAATTCTTAAGCAAAAGCCACGACTGGCATCAATTTTCCTATTGCACTTCTCCTCAATAAAAATCTAAAACATTTTCGAAACATAAAATGAATTTTTTAAAAATTAATGAACATTAATTAAGGCATTTATCGATCGTTATCGAGTTCAAAGAGTCGATTTTTACCACTCATTAAACGGTGTGGCCGCAATTAATAATCACGGCACATAACAAAACTATTGCATTTATTTTCCTGTACATATTAAGTATGGATATAAATAAATTCGATCTATCTTACGTATACATTCTCATGAACTATTCTACCATAAAAGCGAATAAGCAGACTTTTAATTTATTATTAGTGTTTAACAGCGGTCTCTATGACACGTTTGCCGCCACACAAGCAATATACACCTCGGTAATGCCGGCGTCACTACTGATTTTGCTGTTTTGCATAGCTTGCAAATGTCTGCATTAAAATAATAATCACTAGAGGTCTAAAGGAGAATTTAGCCAGAGATAAAGAGAGATCTTTGAAGGTGTTGTAAAAGGAAATGAACACGTCATTAGTGGAAATTTTAATGATTATTTTTTTTTGCTAATTCTTGGGAAGTGTCTTTAGTCAATTAATTGATCATATGTTGATATCACTGGAGATGATAAAAATATTTCTAATTGGCCACATCATATTAATTTATTACTGAAAAAGACTAAACTTGGAAGGCTTAAATAATAAAAGAAATAAATAAATATTTAAAGAATAAATTTGTAGATGCTTGGAGATGACTTGAAGTCATGATGCACCTAAAATATAATTACCAGTGAGAAAATCAATAACGGAAAACTACAATAAAGAGTAGAAAGAGAAGCGTAATGTTAGTGATCAGGTTAATTAATAGCACTTGTTATGGTAATAATAGCCAATGTAATGTAGATAATCAGATATCTTCTTTTATCAGTTAGCTATTGTAAGTGTGCTGTGATCTGCTGGTTAGATATAGTTGGATTTAGCTGACTGGACTTTGATGCAGACAAAGCAGGGTAAAGTCTTTGACACGTGTACATCACACAATCGTCCAGCAGTCAGGAACATTCAAGAAGACACGCGCCCATTTTCTGCTTATCATGGTCTATAATTATTCACATACATGTATTTTTTATGCACGAAAAATCGCACACAATTAACAATTTATCCATTTTTATTGATAATAAATGAAAGTTATTAATTTGAAAAAAAGTAATCCATCAATAGATTAACAAAGATATTTTGTTTATCTAGATCGTTTGTTTAAGTCAGCTGGATTAATTTCGTTTTTAAGTGCTGATAAACTGTGTAAAATATTTATCTAAAGTTGGTAATCAATCATAAAATTATTATTCATACAATTTTTTCTTCACTGCTGTCAAATTTAAAAGTTAATTATTGAACATCGATGTCTTAAAATTGTATTCCAGAATATTTTGGTTTTCTAAATGCATGTTTTAATTAAATTATCAATGAATCAATAGAAATATGTTTTTCAATTGGGCGATGTTGTTTTTATTAATTAAATTAGTTTGATTTTAAAGTACTGATAAACTAAAGTAAGAAGATATCTGAGAATGATAATCAATTCTAATTAATGCGAGCATCTTAAAAAATTATTATTGGCCTCTTATCTGCTTTAACTTATAGTATAAAAAGAGCTCATTTAGGGTCCACAGCTAATAGTTGTTTTTCAACGATCGTCAACATGCTGGCATTATGCTTTACTCTCTTGACTGTCTTGGTAACCGGTAATTATTAAAAAACTTTATATTCTAAATAATTTAATTAATAAATAGGTCAACGATACTATAATTTCTATAAATAATTAAATTGATCCATATTGTGATGAAGGTTCCCTGGCAGTACTTAATGGAGATCCAGCAGCTCCACACCAATTCCCATATCATGTAGGTCTCTACTGGAAGAGCAAAATCCCAGTTCCAATTCTGAAAGCCCCCTACTACTGTGGTGGAGCAGTAGTTAGTGATAAATGGGTTTTAACAGCAGCACATTGTGTACGTAAGTATGGCCAAATGGTGGTCAAAGCTGGTAAACATGTCTTTGATCAGGAAGAAGCTAGTGAACAAGTCCGTTATGTTGTTCGTCATGTCACCCATCCCAACTATAAACGGTAAGACAATTCATCTTTTAAACAAATCCAATAGTCCAAATGAAAATAATAAAAAAATTATACTCCTAGACCTATCATCTCCAAGAGACTCATCCCTCAGAATGACCTTGCTATGCTTGAAGTCGACTCTCCTTTTATCTTCAATGGATACGTAGACGTTGCTCAAGTATCTGGTGCCAGTTCTGACTATGATTCTGGATCTCTAGCAGGATGGGGTTCAAATGGTATCAACTATATCCCTACTTTTCCCAAGGAGCTTCATTACAACAAGTACCTTCCAGTGGAAGTTAATCTAACTTGTGCTGAGGCCATCAACGACGCATTCTTCGGCATTGAATTTTCACCTGTGGAAATTAGTAGCAATCAAACTTGTACTGGACCAGTTGGAGAAAACATTGGAGCTTGTATCTTAGACGGTGGCAGTGCTCTAGTTAATAAAAAAAATAAAAAATATGTAATCATTGGCGTTGTTTCATGGAGTCATTTGCTTTGTGGAACTATTGGAACTCCTACTGTTTATACTCGAATTGGTGCATATTCTGGATGGGTCAATGCAGTGATGGAATCTTCTTAAATACATAATTATAGCAACAATTAAAAAGATGATTATCGTAAATAAATATTTTAGAATTTTTTTCTCAAAAATTTATTAAATCCTTCATACTTTGTATTAATTAAGCCAATTGAAAACTATTAATTAATCTCAGATACCAGTACAGGCTTCAATTATGTCTCTGATGTCATACACCCTATTGCTCATCAGCCATGTAGATATACATTTGTCTTATTTGCCAGCTCTTGATACCCATGGGAATCAGTAATAGGATGGTGATCATGGTTTATTCCCACCCGCTTCATGAGGGTGGACCACGAGCGGGGTGATTTCATGGTGATGGATGTGACCCGCACAATTCTCTCTTTTTTTTATTCTTTCCATTTGATCCCTTCTATGCCCGCTGATTTTTTCTCACTCACACTTGACCTTTTCTATGCTTCCATCTCGCTCTTTCTAACGTATTGCTTTTGATATGATGACTATAATGAACATACACACGATTCACTTATTGAGTAGCACCCAAAACCCCCTATCGCTTTGTCAACAGCAACAATATGTTTCTCATCGAGTCACTAGCAGACCTGTGGGAACTACTTGAAATCAAGGACACATCGTTATAGAGTTCTAGAAGATTGAAGCTTATAAATCAATGTTGGAGTAATTATTTTAAGTAATTGGACGTTTTTTCATTATTCAGGAAGCAAGTTTTTGAATTAACAAATCACAAAAAATATTGCAATAATTTAATCCAAGGTATTTTTTAGTAAAGCGTGTTTGAATAAAAATTATTTCTTGGTTGAATAATGCTTTGATACTTAATTTTTATTTATTGTTAACGATTGAAAAAAATATTTCGCAATGTTTGATAAATAAAACTTATTTACTGAAATAAAAAAAAGTGTCTAAAATTTATACGTGACATCTTAACAATTGATGTAGCATTGTCTAAAAATTTTTGGGGCACTCTGGTTAATCGTTCAGAATTCCTGTGACAACGCGTATCCGCTGCAATGAATCAGTCGCTCTGATTACGCATAATACATACTTGGACAATGTATAGTAGTACATAGAAGTATAATATATAACATAAATCTATATAGATGTAACGGAAGAAAGGAGAGCGTGATAAACGACAAGAGGAGTCAGTAGTCATCAGGATGAATGAATATCTTGCACGAGGCAGCCACTCGTCTCAATCGGAAGCTTGCGCTCATCATTGTTCTACATCTACTCCCTATTTTATATTATTTGCAATTTATTTATCACTTCAAATTTTCATTTTTCATTTTTACTAAAAAAATTGAAAATAAAAACCGCCAATGCATGATCGTATTTTCATATTTTTTTGTAATTGTTTTTAGTTAGTTGATCTTGTACAGCAGATTCTGAGGTTTTAAATGAGCTACAAGAAAGCGTAATATGAAGATTTTTTCTAGAAGAAATAGAAGCTCAAAGTTAAATGTTTAAGAAAATTCTGAGTTTGATGATGCTGAAATTTGGCGATTTATTTAAAAAATCATAACTCGATGAAAAATGGTCACAAAAAAATTCCGTGAATTCTATAGAAATTTCTTAACGTATCTAAAAAAATCAGCCATTTTACTACCATTATTTAAATATTTTCAATTGAATTATGAAAGAGGAAATCATTATTCCTCGAGTAAAAAAATGATTATATTTGCAAGTAGATAAATATAAAAATAATAAAAAACAGTGCGGATCCTACCAGAAAACTCACACGGGTTGTCAGGATCAGAGCAGGTTGAATGATCCAAAACACGTGGCAGTATATAGCGTGGGATAAAAATGGTTGGCGTTGATTTTCTTATTGTAAATTGAACTTGCAACTGAGGGTCCATTATATAATCTATACTTAATACATTGGCATACGATATCTGTGTTTGTCCTAGCTACCATCCCCCTTTACTACTGAATTAATGCTTACTGGTGCGATGCTTTCTGGTATCTTTGTATTTATGAATCGATATTTTAACCCAATTCGATACGATTCCGAGATATTATTGTTACACTAAGCCTGTAAATTATTGCAGAAGGATGATAATGAGTAAAAGAAAAATTCACATATCTCGATAATGGGATTGTTTAATACATTAAAACACAATTAAATATTATTTTATAAATAAATAACACCAATGACAGTAGCTTTGCTTAAATACAACTTAACTGGTTTGTAACAAACTTAAATTTCTTATTAAACATTTCTATTGGTATTTCAATTACTTTTCTCAAGGTAACATTTTATCAACTAATTATGATAAAAAAATTTGCATAACACACTTGAGGTTGAATACCCAACGTTCAACAAAGTCTGCAACCTTTTGTAGAGTTTTGAAATTTTTAATTGATGAATAAATTAATTGTATAATAAGTTATAATATAATTCAAAATAAATTATTTATTTTTATATAAAGATATAAATAAATAATTTTATAATGAGTTTATTGTGTTCACAATATCAAGTTATTCAATCATCATAAAAAGAATTTAGTATCAACTAGAAGCCAATGTAGTTAAAATATTTGTTATCATAAAAGTCAATAGAGAACAGCTCCACTATACAAAGACACATGACAACGGGATGCGATAAGAAGATAAAAAATTTATTTATATTATTTGTTATGCCCAACTACTGTCAGTTTAATTGTGAAATTTAACCAAGATATTTTTCTAGCTCTGGGTATTTCCGTGAATCATGACGAACCGAATCATTAAGACAGTCAAGTTCTTTATTATCCTAAGTTACTTCTTTAATTATTTATCAGCCTATAGGACAATTCCTCGCTATGATTTTGGAACGACAAATAAGAAATTGAAGTTGATACACTCATGGAAAACACTGGATTTTGATTTTGGTGATGATCATGCAAGACAGAAAGCTATTGAGAGTGAGGAATTCATTCCTGGAGCTCCAGTGCCAATCGATGTAGACGTGGCAAACAGTAAACAGTTAATTTATTTCTTAAGAGTGGAATTAATTATTAGAAATTATATATTATTATGAATTATAGTGGGTACGAGCAATTCGAGAATTTTCATCACAATCCCACGGTTTCAAAAAGGAGTCCCTGCTACTCTTGGATATATTCCCCACAACAATGCCCTAACAAGACAAGTCAACGATCCTATCATCATTCCCTATCCTAACTGGGGGCGAAATAGAATTGGAAACTGCGATAATCTTGTTTCAGTATACAGAATAAAGGTAAATAAGCATTTTTAAGACAAAAAACAATTTCGTCATCATCATTTTTTATAGAGAAGAATTTTTGTAAACTTCTAGGTGGATGAATGTGGCAGACTGTGGGTCCTAGACACTGGGAAATTGGTAGACGATCAAATATGTCCCCCAAAACTATTGAAGTTTGACTTAAACACTGATACATCAACGACCTACATATTTCCACAGAATAAATACAAATCGTCTTCTCTCTTTATCACACCAGCTGTAGATATTCGAGGCCAGTGTAACCACACATTTGTCTACATCGCCGACGTGACAGGATTTCAGTTAATTGTTTACGATGATATGAATAAAAAGTCCTGGAGTATTGAGAACAATTTGTTCTATCCATACCCAGACTATGGTTCATTCACAATAGCGGGAGAGAGTTTTAATCTGATGGATGGTATTTTTGGTTTAGCTTTAGGTCCACTTACTGGGTATGGTGATAGGATGCTTTATTTTCACTCACTAGCAAGTGTGGTTGAAAGTCAAGTTCGCACATCAATCATCAGGTTGATAAAACAATTCTGATATTACTAAAAAATTGATATCCTATTCTTAACTTTGTTATTTTAGGAATTCATCATTGTTTGAGAATTATGACAATGACTATGCAGTCTCTAGATTATTCAGTTCATTTAGAAAAGGAAGGTCTTCTCAAGCTGGAGCCCAAGCCATGGATAAATATGGTGTGTTGTTTTATGGTTTGATGTCAGACACAGCTATTGGATGTTGGAACAGTAAAAGTCATCCAGAGTTCGGTGGGAAAAATTTAGATGTGCTTGTTGTTGATACAGAAACTCTTCAATTTGTATCTGGCTTGAAAGTAAGTTTCTCGATACTTTGATTCCATCTACTGATTAACAGATGATTTTCTTTTCAGATAATTACTGCTCCTGATGGAAGAGATGAGCTTTGGGTGATTACTCCATCTTTCCAGAAAGTCATGACAGGTTCTTTAAATCCTAGGGAAATTAATTTTAGAATCCAAGCTGCGTACACCAATGAGTTGGTCGTAGGAACTAAATGTGCAGCTTCCAGCACTTTTTTCTATTGATGAAATCCTTGTGTAAATAATTAAAACCAAAAAATCACTCATGAAATGTCTTTGGTTTTTTTTTTGTTCAACTCATATTTTAATAAATGTTAGAATTTAATACAAAAATCATCAACAAAAATGCACGTCGAACCTTTTAATCTCTCTATTGAGATAATTAATATTTTTTAAAATATTTGTTTTTTAACTTTAAAGACAAAGGAGATAATGCTACACCCTTGTCTAACAGCTAAGAATTTAAGAGCAAAAGTGTAATCAGTACAGGAAATAGGACAGATTCTTAGTTCTGATATAACTGATTGAGAATTATACAACTTTTTTTTCAATTTATACAATGTCTGGTCATCCCAATGCTTCGGTAAGCCGAACTCAAACCATTTAAAAGCAATCTCATTGATTCTTTGCTTGAATGGAAAACGTTCACTAATAGTCGTTGATACGTAATAATTAAAAATAGGTCTAGACAGGTGTAATTCTAGGTCTAATTCTGTTATTAGTCAAATAAATTGATTTATTTAAAGGGCTTTATTCTGATAGTCTAATTTCATATAAAAATTAATAAATGTAAATAGTTCCAACATTTTGAAGATCAAACAAAGAATCAATGATTTGAATGAAAAAATAATTATAATACGAATTAAGATGGAAATACCTTTAAAAGTTGGAGAAGACCACAAAGGCTCATAAGCAAAAATATCTACAGCTATGTAAGGATAAATGTAATTTGTATTGTCATGAAAATAAGACTTTCTTGCGCGTAACGAGCATCAGTCGAGTCATGAATCGCCAAGTGCGTGAGTTTAAGTATGTTGTGTTTCGCGTGTGGTTACGTAATAAGCGAAACATTTGTGATAGATCGATAGACCTTAACATAGTATAGCCAGCAAAGAGAACTACCCTCTAGCATTGATCAGATTTACGAGACTTACTTTACGTATGTACATATTTTTACAACAAATACTTTTACCGGTTCATTAGCTCAAGTTAGCCACAATAATGTATAGAATCTAGAAATGTCTGGTATATTTCAACCAGCAGAGAAGCTGATGAATGATGAGATTTAGCATATCGGAGCTTCCTTTCTGATCTTCAGCAATAAAAATTCATGTTTTTATCAACCAATTGATTTTTTTCTTCATGACTGATTAAATAAACTGATCTCTTGATACTTTTAAATGGCTACAAAGTTTCATTCTAAAAATAATCAAAGACTATATGGTGACTAATAATGGCGAGAAGTTGGTCAACTGTGATATTACAGACCAGGTATAGAGTGCCGGTGGCAGAAAGAAGCCAAGTGAGTGGAGATTATACTTATGCTTATATCGATATGGTGTACATTTATCTATCTACCGTACAATATAATAAGAGTAGAAGAATAGGGATACATTTATGAGATATAAGACTCACGGTGCGACTTGATAAGCTCGCAATGCGTGTCGAAGATTACTATCCTGCTGATCTCGCCGCCGACGAGAGCAGGTTGATCTGATACCTGTCGTATATCTACAGCTTATGAAACTTATGAGCATTATTTTATATTCTATAAATAAATAACATCATTTATTTTATTTAAATCATTCTTTTTAAGTCTTCAAGTCTTTTTCAAATTATTTTTTAAAGAACAAAAAATAGTTTTAATCTTAGCAACGCATATGGGAACAAGAAAGTAAAAAGAAAAAATGATTATTTATCGTACGATTACGATATGTCTATAAGTGCATGTACATTGCGTATTGTAACATAGTATTTCATCAAATTACAATGGTTTTTATGTAGAAAGTTAATAGATTATTGTGTCAAATTGCTGTATTGAAGGTTGCGAACTATATCGACTCGCGCCTAGTCATGAGAAGGTGTATCACCTATTATCTGAAAAGTCGATCTGATCTGCTGTAATTGAATAAATTATCGAGAGTTTGCGGATATAATGTCTAACATTAAACAGCTAAACTCATATTCCCTCGATTGTCTATCTATCTACCTACATGTGTACACAAATTGGAACAATCTGAGAAAGAATAAATCATCTCATTGTCATTATCTATAATAAATTCTAAATAATCCGAGTTTATCATCATCTTAAACACTTTTCCTTACATCTTATCGTTTTTTTTTAAATAAATGATAAGGCAAATCAGGGCAATGTTAGTTATTGTAATAGGATCGATTTTTGAAATTCGTAATTTTGTTATTTCTTTATATTTCAAAACATTTGAAATCATTTCAGAAGGTTTAAAAATAGATGTCCGTACGTACAACTGTACATATCGAAATATGTAAAATATGTAATAAATGTTACGTGAGTTGTAAAATAATAAAAAAACTGTTTTTGATCTAGATTACACGATACACAATGGACACCTCCCGGCGTTTTTCATTGTCCATATTTACCTCCTATGGTCTCTAGCACATTTACACACGTACACGCGTACTAGCTATTATCCCTTTACTCTACACGCATTCAATCAAGTTTTAAATGCGTACCCGAAAGTGAAACTTTCATTTATTTTATCGCAGTTGCATTCCCTTGACCTTTCACACTTTTCCTTTTAATTTCTTCAAGTTATTTATTTTTCTGCGCCTACTTCTATCTCGGCCTATTTGTGCACCATTATAGTGTAATATTCCGGTATAATACGTACGCATATATACACAAGTGTAACTATTATCTGTCTGTCTATTATGTGCGTATGGCTATTGAGTTATACTTAATTCAATCTCTTTTACTACACCATCAGTAATGTATTAATATGTAGGTGAGATTTAACATGCATAAGTCTTAATGACGATTAAGAGATTTTATCGTGTTCTGATGAAAGCCTTTGATTGCAAGATACTTTACTTCAATTATCCATAACGATTGTTTAATTTAAACTATTTTTTTCTTTTCTTATTTCTATTGAATTTTGCAATTTAATTGGAATAATGAGTACTTGAGTATAATACGTTATATTTTTATGTTAACTCATACTTTATAAATCACTAGCTATTGCCTATTTATTTATACTATTATTTCATTTATTTATTGAACTAATCTTACGATATTCATTGTTTTAATAAATTAAAAATACAACGGCTAATCAATAAACACTATTGAGGTTATTCTTTTAATTATCGACAAGCTCATCAGGTATCATCCTGAGCCCAATCTTTTCAACTTGTATTTTTTTTTGCATGGCTGACATCTTTGAATCTTGCCTTTACCTTGTATTCTTTTGTTCCCGAAACATCCATTCTTTTAATAAATATCCTTTTCTTTTTTCATTGATCAAAGTTGTCTTTAGTCACACATTTCTATCAACCACTAAACAATATTTATTTAATTCATGAATTATTTAAATCACTCGAAAATTAATAACTAAGTTTAAAAAATTAAAAATTAATTTTGTTTATAACAAATAATATTGGATAAATTTTTTGGAGTCACTGTAAGATAATATCAAAGTGTCTAGTTGTAAGAAAAAACTGTAAACACGGTTTTTCTATGATCCAACAATTATTGTAAATTAGTCCCTTCATTATTAGAGTTCAAAATCGGACGTCCTATCGACTGTTATCATTGAGAAAATCAGTGTAAAAAAAGGGTTTATATCGTTTTAATTTTCATGTAATTTTATGTAGCCATTAAAGTTTTTTATGACAATAAATAGATTTAGGATGAGATCTATGCGGTTCTTAAGATAGTCTCTGGTATAGCACTCGCGTTACTCAAACTAGTATGCATAAATCTCCGGCGCTATCAGTGGCAATCAGTTCACGAGTTCTCATACGCGCCTTTTGTCTCGTGGACCACCGTCTTATCCATGTTTTATCCGTGTGGCTGGTTCTCGCCCGCGTAAAACGACCCAACCGTGACCGTATGCATGCTCGATAGCATTTCGTAACTGTACTAATATATTATATATCACTTTTAATATATAATAAATATTTATTTATTTCCGTATGTCTTAAAAATATTTATATTGATACTCAGCAATTGTTATTCTTCTATTTTTATTTCATCAGAATTTTTTGAATCATACTTTTTTCTTACAAAACAGAAAGTACCTCGGTGAGACTAGAAGTTGAACCCAGGATCATCCTGATTACGCACGAGAATGTTCTACCACATAAGCTATTCTATACTTGGGCCTATCACCTACTTTTTGTGCTCGCCTCTATCATGGTTATATTCGACAATATCTGTCGATTTAATGGAACCTCTAACTGTGACAGAATTTTTCATGTCAATAAATATCCGTAAATAATGCATATTATCTGTGTGTAATTATATTAATTATTGTTATGAATCTTTATTTTATAAAAAGAAATGTGTGATTTATATACAGTACTAGTGCAGTCGTTAATTTAGTCTCTAGAATGATAAAAAAAAAATCCAAGTAAAAATCTGAGATGCTACAGACTACATTCAGGTGAAGACCTGCTTCACAAATCTTGATTGAGTCATAAAAGTCAAGTCTATGCGTCTATACAATGATCATAGGGTATCAAAGGAATGCTAACATAAACCTTGGATATTTCTGCACCTGGTGTAATGCAAAAGAAATGTATAATAAAATTATCTACCTCTGAAAAAAAAAAAATTGTTTCTGTTAAAAAATTCTCGAAAAACATAAGGAAATGCTGGGAGATCATTATTGTTGATAAAAAAAAATGGAAATTAATGGAAAAAAAATAAGAAACAGATGAAGATTTTCATAACAACCTGTGGAATGTTATCAGTGTATTATGAGTTGTAATGTGTGATAAATATTGATTAGAAGAATTATTGTAATCATCTCTTTTCATCACTCGGGCATTCAGCACAAAATACGTGATGAGAATATATCGATTATTAACATTTCCTGACATTTTACGATTAGATATCGCTGCTGTCCACGCGATCTATGTCACGGAAACTCATCTCATCTGCACATGCAATCTCAAACGCTCTACACGCGATTATTTCTTGCTCGTGTGCTCAGATTATTCACTTTTAATTTTTTTTTATTTATGTATGCATTAAAAAATTATTTCTACGATTGACAATTATTTTTATCTATC